CGGAGAATTTTTTGGAATAGCAGTCCCAAGCCTCAACCACTCGGCTACTCTGTCTCAAAAGACCATAAAGCAAGCAATACTGAACGAACAATGTTTTCGATAGGATTGAATCAGTGACATTTCAAAATGGCATATCAGTACTAATTATTATGACTAATGAGTTAGCTACCGAAAGCAACGAAATTAAATTGCAGCAAAATTAGGCGAAACTGAGATGGTTGAACTCAAAAAAATTTCTCAAACCGGAAAAATTAGACGGATTAGTGTAAGTTTCGGTACAAAAATGATAGACGGATCAAATTTTGTCACGTTGTTTTTTTGAGCAAACTCATGGGATGTATGATAAAAAAACTACGCTTTTGTTTTCGAAACATTCATTTTTTTTTGAAATGTTCATTTTAATTTTTCGAGAGCAGCGTATGACCCCTTAAACTCCTAAATTGACAAACATAAAAAATATCCCTCTTAAGTAACTGTTGGAATTTGCCTGAATTTTGCCAGAGCGTTCGTATGAGGAAAATATTCGAATCTATGATGAAAAAAAAAATGTTTTTGCCGCCTTGTAAATGTTTTTGCTCAAACCTAGTTTTTAGAGTGTTTGTTGTGTTTGTTGGGTAGGTAAGGGGGTTTGGTCTGCTCTGCAGTTTTTCAGAATGACATTTTTACAAGGTTATTTTTGATTTTGAATTTTTGCTTTAGAAAACGTTTTGCGTTTAGAAAAAAGTCAAAAAGTCTTCATCTGTAAAATTTCGCCATGACCAGGCCAAACTGAGCACTGGATAGCACAATTGTTGGATCGCGGACTGTCAGAAAGCGATTATAGCTAGTTATTCTGAATTTCGCTACTGTAAGTGGATTCTGCTACGTGTGAGTGGAATTCGCAAATGTAAGTGAAATCTGCAGACTTTGTCAACGGAATCTGCAAACGCAAGCGGGTTGTGCAGACCGTAAGTACTTTCCAATTTCTTAAATATTACTGAGCTTGCATATAAACAATTAAAGCTAGAGCTGACAATATTATTTGCAGTAATGTGGAATTGAAAAGCAAGGTCTTAACCATTGTGAACACAGAGGAGAGTACAAATTATAACAAGAACTGTCGTTTTGAATTGCATAGTTGTTAAAAATTAAGATTGGAGAAATCAAAAACTACATTGTTATCACTAAAAAAATTTTTTTTGAATGTTTGAAATTTGAAGTTTAAGCCAACGCACGGAGAATTTTTTGGAATAGCAGTCCCAAGCCTCAACCACTCGGCTACTCTGTCTCAAAAGACCATAAAGCAAGCAATACTGAACGAACAATGTTTTCGATAGGATTGAATCAGTGACATTTCAAAATGGCATATCAGTACTAAATATTATGACTAATGAGTTAGCTACCGAAAGCAACGAAATTAAATTGCAGCAAAATTAGGCGAAACTGAGATGGTTGAACTAAAAAAAATTTCTCAAACCGGAAAATTTAGACGGATTAGTGTAAGTTTCGGTACAAAAATGATAGACGGATCAAATTTTGTCACGTTGTTTTTTTGAGCAAAATCATGGGATGTATGATCAAAAAACTACGCTTTTGTTTTCGAAACATTCATTTTTTTTTGAAATGTTCATTTTAATTTTTCGAGAGCAGCGTATGACCCCTTAAACTCCTAAATTGACAAACATAAAAAATATCCCTCTTAAGTAACTGTTGGAATTTGCCTGAATTTTGCCAGAGCGTTCGTATGAGGAAAATATTCGAATCTATGATGAAAAAAAAAATGTTTTTGCCGCCTTGTAAATGTTTTTGCACAAACCTAGTTTTTAGAGTGTTTGTTGTGTTTGTTGGGTAGGTAAGGGGGTTTGGTCTGCTCTGCAGTTTTTCAGAATGACATTTTTACAAGGTTATTTTTGATTTTGAATTTTTGCTTTAGAAAACGTTTTGCGTTTAGAAAAAAATTGAAAAAGTCTTAATCTGTAAAATTTCGCCATGACCAGGCCAAACTGAGCACTGGATAGCACAATTGTTGGATCGCGGACTGTCAGAAAGCGATTATAGCTAGTTATTCTGAATTTCGCTACTGTAAGTGGATTCTGCTAAGTGTGAGTGGAATTCGCAAATGTAAGTGAAATCTGCAGACTTTGTCAACGGAATCTGCAAACGCAAGCGGGTTGTGCAGACCGTAAGTACTTTCCAATTTCTTAAATATTACTGAGCTTGCATATAAACAATTAAAGCTAGAGCTGACAATATTATTTGCAGTAATGTGGAATTGAAAAGCAAGGTCTTAACCATTGTGAACACAGAGGAGAGTACAAATTATAACAAGAACTGTCGTTTTGAATTGCATAGTTGTTAAAATTTAAGATTGGAGAAATCAAAAACTACATTGTTATGACTAAAAAAAAATTTTTTTAAATGTTTGAAGGTTGAAGTTTGAGCCAACGCACGGAGAATTTTTTGGAATAGCAGTCCCAAGCCTCAACCACTCGGCTACTCTGTCTCAAAAGACCATAAAGCAAGCAATACTGAACGAACAATGTTTTCGATAGGATTGAATCAGTGACATTTCAAAATGGCATATCAGTACTAAATATTATGACTAATGAGTTAGCTACCGAAAGCAACGAAATTAAATTGCAGCAAAATTAGGCGAAACTGAGATGGTTGAACTCAAAACAATTTCTCAAACCGGAAAAGTTAGACGGATTAGTGTAAGTTTCGGTACAAAAATGATAGACGGATCAAATTTTGTCACGTTGTTTTTTTGAGCAATTTCATGGGATGTATAATCAAAAAACTACGCCTTTGTTTTCGAAACATTCATTTTTTTTTGAAATGTTCATTTTAATTTTTCGAGAGCAGCGTATGACCCCTTAAACTCCTAAATTGACAAACATAAAAAATATCCCTCTTAAGTAACTGTTGGAATTTGCCTGAATTTTGCCAGAGCGTTCGTATGAGGAAAATCTTCGAATCTATGATGAAAAAAAAATGTTTTTGCCGCCTTGTAAATGTTTTTCCACAAACCTAGTTTTTAGAGTGTTTGTTGTGTTTGTTGGATAGGTAGGGGGGTTTGGTCTGCTCTGCAGTTTTTCAGAATCACATTTTTACAAGGTTAATTTTGATTTTGAATTTTTGCTTTAGAAAACGTTATGCGTTTAGAAAAAAAGTGAAAAAGTCTTCATCTGTAAAATTTCGCCATGACCAGGCCAAACTGTGCACTCGATAGCACAATTGTTGGATCGCGGACTGTCAGAAAGCGATTATAGCTAGTTATTCTGAATTTCGCTACTGTAAGTGGATTCTGCTAAGTGTGAGTGGAATTCGCAAATGTAAGTGAAATCTGCAGACTTTGTCAACGGAATCTGCAAACGCAAGCGGGTTGTGCAGACCGTAAGTACTTTCCAATTTCTTAAATTTTACTGAGCTTGCATATAAACAATTAAAGCTAGAGCTGACAAAATTATTTGCAGTAATTGGAATTGAAAAGCAAGGTCTTAACCATTGTGAACACAGAGGAGAGTACAAATTATAACAAGAACTGTCGTTTTGAATTGCATAGTTGTTAAAAATTAAGATTGGAGAAATCAAAAACTACATTGTTATCACTAAAAAAATTTTTTTTAAATGTTTGAAGTTTGAGCCAACGCACGGAGAATTTTTTTGGAATAGCAGTCCCAAGCCTCAACCACTCGGCTACTCTGTCTCAAAAGACCATAAAGCAAGCAGTACTGAACGAACAATATTTTCGATAGGATTGAATCAGTGACATTTCAAAATGGCATATCAGTACTAAATATTATGACTAATGAGTTAGCTACCGAAAGCAACGAAATTAAATTGCAGCAAAATTAGGCGAAACTGAGATGGTTGAACTCAAAAAAATTTCTCAAACCGGAAAAGTTAGACGGAATAGTGTAAGTTTCGGTACAAAAATGATAGACGGATCAAATTTTGTCACGTTGTTTTTTTGAGCAAACTCATGGGATGTATGATCAAAAAACTACGCTTTTGTTTTCGAAACATTCATTTTTTTTTGAAATGTTCATTTTAGTTTTTCGAGAGCAGCGTATGACCCCTTAAACTCCTAAATTGACAAACATAAAAAATATCCCTCTTAAGTAACTGTTGGAATTTGCCTGAATTTTGCCAGAGCGTTCATATGAGGAAAAGTTTCGGATCTATGATGAAAAAAAATGTTTTTGCCGCCTTGTAAATGTTTTTCCACAAACCTAGTTTTTAGACTGTTTGTTGTGTTTGTTGGGTAGGTAGGGGGGTTTGGTCTGCTCTGCAGTTTTTCAGAATGACATTTTTACAAGGTTATTTTTGATTTTGAATTTTTGCTTTAGAAAACGTTATGCGTTTAGAAAAAAGTGAAAGATGTCGGATTTCTAAAAACAGTAAAAAAAATACATCAACTAGAGTGTCTGAAAAAAAACGTTTAGTTTTCTTTTGAAAACTTTCTTTTTCGCATTGGTCATTTAGGCATTTATTTGGCTTCAGTCATGAACAAAAACGGATCAATCACTTTATTAGTTGAATAGATAGAGGCTGGCAAAATCTTAATCAAAATTTGAAAAAGTTTCAAAATTTGTAAACTCTTTTCCTAAATCAGCTCACATCTAAAAAATTAGGTTCCTTGTTCAAAGAAGCGTTACATGTTTCCTAAACGCATACTCTACTGACTCAGCATAAATTTTACGCATGAGTTTGTCGATGTTTTCATATGATGGTCGTTCTGCTCGAAAACAACCTAATACATTTTTATTATTTTGATTTTTTGGCTCTTTGCTATTTCTCATGGAAAATTGCGGTGGA